TATTTAAAAATAATCGTATCTGGTAGCCAGCGAGGTCTGGGGCAGGTAGAACTGTGAGGAGAAAGAACTGCATGGAGAGGAAGAGAGAAGTCATTCTTGCTTGGCTGGAGCTTGGGTTTGGAGGTAGGACTGCAGATTACGTGTTCAGAGGACATATTTCTGTTTCATTGATTTATGTTCAATACTCACATTGCCTGTCCAAGCCTCAGTCTTCTCATGTGCAAACTAAGAAAGAGCCATAAAGACTCCTTTAGCTCCCAGCTACAACTCTAAAGGCCCTTGAGTAGGGTCCTAGCTCACAGGTTTTTTTTATGCCACTTATATTTCTTTGTAGTTATAAAGTCCCCTGAATTGTCTTATATAATAAGATGGGATGTATTTGGTAGCTCTGCTCACAATCCTGACGGTTGAATAGTTATTGGTTATGGTACTGGGTTTGACTAGGTCACAACATCACTCAACTAGCTGCCTTGCTTACATGGCAGCAGGTAGGTTCCTAGAGTATGGGTTTGGAAGCACGCAAGACCTCTTGAGGTCAAGGCTTCGAAATAATGTGAAGTTGATTCTGTAGCATTCTGTTGACTAAAGCAAATTACAGGACCATTTGTATTGAAGAGGTAGCGAGAGATATTCCACTTGTGATATGGGCTGCAGTGTGACACTGTAAGGCTTATGTACAGGGAATGGAGCATTCATAGCTTATTTACTTATCTACGCTGTGGATTGAACCTAGGCCCTCAAGCATGATACTAATATGCTACATCCCTATCCCCCATACAGTGCTTCAGGTAAAGGGACATTCTCACTACTCTAGGAGTTGGACATGCCTTCTCGACTCCAGAAATTTGTTCTAGTTATTTCCTCTGTCTCAGAAGTCACTCTGTGCCCCTTCCTGGCTGTTCCAATTCTGTCCCTTCTGCGAGGCCTATTTCCCAAACTAATGAACACATGAGACTTTTCCCCATCATTTCAACCAAATATGGTTTCTCACTCATAAGAAGTTGAAATGCTGCCACAGACTTTATAAAGTCCATCAATTCTGAACAATTTGTGACCATAGGTATAGTTATATGCAATTGAAAACAATCTTTCTCATCTTTGTATATAAAATGACTATGATTTAGAGTGATCATTTCTATTAAATTGAATCTGCTGTGATTTCTTCATTCACTTTGCTGTAAGAGAAAACTGGCATTTATGGCTCTTGCCCATAGCTTTACCAAAATTACTAAGTACAATTTTTGCTATTAACCTTACAGTTACTTTCAAGCTTAGATTTTCTCTCAGGCTCCCAGGTACACTTTTAAAATTACTTTTGGTTTCAATGTTTAGTACGTTAGAAGATACTAAATCTTAAGTTTTATGAGTACAAAAACAGCTGGATTTGGATATGACATCTATGATTTCTGTGTCTGATACTGTCATACATTTGTTTGAAGACCAGGAGAACACTTGATTTTGTTTATTGGCTTGCTGCATGGCGCCTAAGTTCAACTGAAGTCATTTAGTATAAGATATCCCATACAGAGACATGAAGTGTTCAGTGTGGATAATGCTTATGGTCAGTGCTTCTGGCAGATAGGAAAATTGATGGGTTCATGAGATGTCAGTTATATCCCGTCCCAATTTAAATGTGCCTGTTTGTAGTTTATCAAGGTTTTAAAAAATCTTGTTTGTGAGAGAGTAAATCAATTTCATTCCTTACAAGCTAGAAAGTAAACAGAGTAAGGCTGATGGGGATGTAGTATTTTTCTTCTGATAATATAGTATTTCCAAATGATGCAAATGTTTTGAGGCAGAATGAACATTCTCTTGCAATGCTATCTCATTTTGAAGGAAAGAAGACAAAACTCCAGGACTTTCGTCACAGTTTGCTTAGAGATCATTTAACCCTTGCTCCTCAAGATTGCTAAGCTCTTAAGCAAAACATTCCAGCAATAAATGAAGATAAAAATAAATTATATTAGAACAAATAAAAACCACTCCATAGATGCACAAACACATTCCTTACTGATGACAGGGTTAATGCTCTATTTTTATTTAATACCATTTGGGTTTTAACTAGGTCTCAGGATCTTCTCTTTTTTGCTTTTCCATCACAATTCAATTTTTTGAAAATAGGAATGCCCTCTGCCTTCAACTAAATTTCTAAATTATAACTCCTTAACCTTTCCTATGAAATGGATCCTTTTGGTTTAGTGAAAGCAAATTTCAGGATAACATTTTTAAATCCATAAAATAAAACAGATGATATGAAAAAGCAAACCAGTTGAGACACGACTATCAAAATGTTAGAAAATTTATTTACTATGGAATCATATACAGTGGATCTTCAACTTACAACCCACCTAACATATGAACAATTTGGGTTAATCAGGTTAATGGAAGATTCCTCTGCCTCTTGTTATCTATAGTGTACCTAGGTACACATCCAGATCTCAGCTATATTGATTTAGTTACAACCAGCCCTGGGGATTGATCGAGTTTGTAAGTCAAAGGTCCACTGTAATGCTTATATTAGATAAGTTCTAGCGGCAGTCTAATAGCTAACACAATTTCAAAGTTCTGAGACATAATAATTTGAGAGCACAGCACAAATTCTATTTCAATCCTAAAATAGCAGTGCTTTCTGGAGTCATCAAAGCCTCAAGTTTTACTAATATATTTTATTTAGGGGAAATTAAAGATTTTTTTTTCTCATACATGGTCTTGGACCACAGACAAGATTACTTTAGTGTCTCTTAGGAGTACTGGAGTGCTTCCAAGGATGAGTGCCCCCTCCCACACTGACCCTGGGTTTGGTCATGTGACTTCCTTTGGTCAACTGGACACAAGCAAATGTGATTCCATTTGGGAGGCTGAGGAAGGAGGATTGCAAATTACAGCCCAGTCTGGACAATTTTGCGACTTAGGGAGACCCTGTCTCAAAATACCATGCTTAAAAAAATAAAATGGGTGGTGATGGTCATGAGAATTCAGCTCAGAGTGAAGGCTTTGGATTCAATCATTAATACTGTGCAAAACACAGCAAAGCAAAATAAAACTAAACAATAAAACCAACATAAGCTTGTCCTCTGGCTATTTTGCCATAGGAAGAAATATAGTCTAATATTTTTGAAGACTAGAGTACCAGCTTTTCATCACCCCAACTCAACTCAGCCCCAGCAATATAACCTAGGTGAGATCAGTAAACTACAAAATTGTGAGAAACAATGAAGTTTTTGTTTTAAGCTGCTAAATTTGGAGCCATTCATTATCAGATATTTATTGCTGCAAAATATTGAACCTGGAAGGGCTCCGTGAATTTCTTCCATTATTAGCCTTTCAAAACCCCTGCACAGTTTGCTTAGAGATCATTTAACCCTTCTCAAAGCCTGGGTTATGGATGGGAAGCATGCACATACCCTGGAGATGGCTTCTCCCCAGACCTACTGAATCAGGATCTCCAGTATTACAAGATCCCCAAGTGAGTCCTAAAGCAATCAAGTTTGCAAAGCACATTAAAGTGTGCACATTAAACTTTAAGAATAGGAGCAGGCCTCTAATAATCCTTTTCAGAAACTTTTTTCATTCTTCAAAAAGAAGTATTTTTTAAGTGTGTCCTTGTACTCTCAGATCCATGGCGCGGTGGAGCCTAGTCAGAAGTGTTCTAAGCACCGGGCCGCACCTGCGTTTGGATGTCTGGAGTACAGGATCTGCAGCCACTTTAATAGTTCGGAAACCGCCTCACCAGAGGGAAGCCCAAGAAGTTTGTCCCTAAGCAGATCCCATATAAGGTGGGCCCCGCCCTCTCCCCGAACCTCCCCTTGTCGCACCCACTCGGGCTCACGAAACAGCCTTCTGCTACTGCGCATGCTCGATCCGTCACTCGCTCCGGAAATCCGCGCTCCGAGTTTTCCCGCCGCCCATTGGTCAAAGTTAGCCATGGGGGATGAGGGGTAGCAAAGCGGTTGCTGTTTCCAGGCCCGCCATAGGGTTCTGGGGTTAGTGATGAAATTATGACTTCTTGTCTGAGCGGAGGATGCACTTGTAGTTTAAGCATCTCAATGCGTGAACATAAACCCCATAGAATTGTCCTCGATTTGCCGATGAGACAGAGGTTTAGAGGCGCAGACTTGGGGACCTTGGCTTCTGCCCTCCCCCAGATTGTCTTCTCCAGACTCTGGTCAAGTCCTATCTGATAGCTGAAAGGGCAGGGTTCTAGGTCTGGGCTGCCCAAAAGGAAAGACAGGAGTTACACTGAGCTGAAGCCGCTCACGGTGGTTCATTTGACCTTAAAACTCTGGCTCCCTGGAGGATTCCTGGGCAGGGTGGAAGAATGTATGCACGCTGCCTGAATTTACATTCTGCAGCGAGGGAGCTAGGCTCACGTACACCGGGTAGCCTAACTCCCTTGTGATGAACACGAAATTGCAAATTTAACAATACAAACACTCCCACTAACATCTGACTTTAGCCAATGTTGATAACATTCCCACTTGAGTTTATAATATCTGGTATCCTTTTTTTGCTTGGTGCCCTCATTTGAGAAAAACACATGCTTGGAACATCTTACATTAGCCGGGAAGGCCCTAGCAGAGTACTCTACAAAACAAACTGTGATCATCCGGGAGCCTGGGTTTGTTCGTCCAAATGAACTGCTAATTCACGCACAGCGGGATAAAGCCAGGTTCTTGTAAATGGTAGGAAACCCTGTTTTTGGTAACTAGTCCCCAAGATTGTGGTCTTTGCTCTGGCCCTAAAGCGCAGCGATCCTTCCCTCTCTGGTTTTAGGAAGATGAAGGTCGGTTTAGCCTTTCTGCAATTTGCGCGCCGGGTTGTCCTCCCTGAAACTGGGGTGTAGCCCGCTTGGCTAAATCGTCCACTGGGCCATCAGGGCTGTGGCCCTGGCTCCGCCCCTCCGTCCACTCGGCCCCTACTCAACGCCCTCCAGGTCACCACCAAAGCCCGGAGCATGGATTCAGTGGACGGGAACATTTCTGCGCATGCCCAGTGACCCCGCAGGTGGGGCCGAAGCGCGACTACAAGTCCGGCTGTAGCCGAGGGGCGGGGGCAGAGGGAAGTAAGTGGGCGGGGGCGGCCCCCGGGACGCGAGAGTTTCGGCCGCTGTGTGCTGCCCTGGTGAGAGCCCACGCGGGCCAGGGCGGGATGAACTATGGCTTCTGTCAAGGTGGCCGTGAGAGTTCGGCCCATGAATCGCAGGTGAGTGGGGCCGCGCGCCCCCCACCCTCGCCGCTGCTCACCGGGAAAGGCGGGCTCAGCTGCTCTCAAGGCCAGTGGACTTCAGTGTACGGGGCGAGCCCTTGGCCCACCTCGTCCAAGCTGAGTCCTCTGGGGCCCTGCAGGACTTCGTGCTTTGCAGTTTCTGTCACGCAGCCCTGGAGGGGACCCGGGGAGCAGAGAGTTCACGAGTGCTGGGAGAAGATCCCATAACTGTCCCATCCTATTAACTTTAGGTTTGTTTGTCCCCTTCAAAAAACATCCAGGGGTCACATCCAGGAAGACGTAAGATACTTGAGGGGAAATGGGAAGGGGAGTGCCACCAGCTGCCAGGCACACTTCTCTCCAGGGCCAATTCAGAAGTTCCTTAACTACTAACCATGTTACTTTAAAATCTCTTAAAGATTATTTGCAGTCCCTGAGTTGTTGACCCTAACTTCTAATCCGTGACTTCATTCTTAACTTTTGGTTAAAGGGGAATGGGGAAACCTGAACAAACTTTTGATTCCTAGAGGAAAAGTGAAGGACGCCATACACACGCTTGAAATAGTGCTGATGTTAAGAGAGGGGAAGCCTTCTGAGCACATTTAAAATCTAATCTTGTATGTTTCTACGAAGTAATGCTTTTCAGAGGGGTTCCTTTCACTCTTCACTCACTGAAAAAATAATCTGTGCTTCCCTTTCGGTGACCTCTGTACAACCTGTTTAGAAAGATGCTTTGGAAAAGTTACTTTTAAAATCGATTTAACTTTATAAAGAATGGAGTGGGTTGAGTTGCTGGGTGCAGTTCACACAAAGCCATTTGTTCTTATTGACTTCTCAGTGAATCCTCGGACATTGGACTTAGCATATGGCTTTTCCTGTTTAGTCACACTGTCATTTTGTAGAGGTCAACAACAGCTGATTAGGGCATCTGATGAGCATAAAATCACGATATTTCCAGGACTTTATATAACACATCAGAATCTGTATGTTTATTGGCAAGGAGGTAGGTGTTTTTCTGATTTGTAACCATTGAAAACAAGTGGTTTTAGAAATCAGTGTTTTGTGTCATTTTCAGGTTACTTCTAAAGTGTGTTTAAAGAGTGACTTTTTAATCTCTTAAGAAGTTATTTATGTTTATTTGTACATAGTCGTACAAGGTAAACAGACCCCAAAGTCATCTCGATAATTAAAAAATTATTATGGATATACATGTATAAGAAGTTCTTTTTCTTCTTTGGAATAATTTGGGTACATACTAAAGAATTGTATTGGATAACTCTAGAAATAATTTATTAAGCACCTACCAAGGGCAAAAGCATTGTGCTGGATGCTGTCTGGAGGTAAATGGGGTCTGGTATAAAAGTGTCCTGTCGTTTTCCCCTGGCTAGTGAGGGAGATGTTTTATGCTGATAGGACACTCATAAAACTGGACCTGTGGATGGGTCCTGTGAGTACATGCCTTTCCTGTGCAGCTGTGCCTTGAGCCCAGATTCGTGGAGGGGTGGCAGGCAACAAGTAAAAGCCCACACTCTTTGAGCAGGTAAATTGATGTCACCTGGAGGCCAGGTCCTGCCGAAGCCAGGAATTAGCCCCTTACTTCCTTGTCCTCCATTCTTAGTGCCCTTGCTAAAAGAATTCAGTCAAGAGACATAGGCTGTGCAGAGAAATAGGTAGAGTTTATTATAAGGTGAATAAGCTGAGTGTTCTTCCTTCAAGCAGAGGTGGACACTGAGTGCCAGTCTGAATCCACTTTTATGCACATAAAAGTTACTCCTGTGGTTCATAGAACTAGGATAGTTAGAATGCTTTTCAAATTTTTACTTAGAAGTTACTTTGGAATTGCAAATTGTTTTTCTGTCCTTTTTAGATAGAGAGTATTTCCTCAGGGGCTTTAATCATGTAAAGAACTTAAGAAAGAAAATTTAAGAAAGGTGTGTTGTTAATTTAAACCAAGTCCCAACCCAGGGTGGGAGGGTCTTGAAAGAACACTTCCTTTCCTTATATCATTGGGCTGTTGGCCATGGTCTCCAGGACGGCAGTGTGCCTTGTCCTGGAGTTAGATGGCCAGGTGTTCAGGTATCAGAAGGACTGTGAACAGTGTGTAGCATTAAAATATCATGTGCTCTGTGGGATCACTTTGGATCTGAGACAAGAAATTATTATAATGTATTATAAATGTATTTGTCCTTTTACTCAACTGAAAATGCATGTTCTTTGGGAAACCCTGTTTGTCCCTCAGACCCACTGATGTCTAACTTCTTGCCTACCAATGTATGTTTGTGTTTGGCGGACAACTCTGGTGGCATCAGGATTGGGGCAGGAAGTCAAGAACGAGCAGTCTGAGCCAGAGGTGGGGATGGGAAGCTGGGGTAGATACATCAAGAGTTGACATCAGAATTGATGGGACTTGGTAGCTCACTGGATGAGGAGAAGGAGAAAGGGGAAGTGTGCTGAGTCACTAACCCATGTTTGATGCCTAGAGAGGTGGATGGGTTAGGGACAGTAGTATTCTTTTTTTTTAAGTTTTTGGTACGGGGTGGGGTTGGGGGGTGGGGGGATTGAACTTGGGGCTTTGCACTTGCAAGGCAGGCACCTGAACCACTGAGCTAAATCCCCAGCCTCGTTAGGGGAGTAAAAGGTAAGCTTGGTGCATTCTCTTTGGGATATGTAGTGTCGCATGAGGCACAGTGAGAGTCAAGTAACTATTAACTGCGCATCATTTTTTGGTGAAACAGACGCTTCCAAAATGGTCAGGGAAGCATAAAGGGTTAAAACCTCTGAAACATTCATACTGGAAAATTGATAGTAGCTATCAAGATTAGGAATTAAACCCTTTGGTCTGGCGATTTCATTTCTAAGAATTTATGATATGGATTATATACCTGCCTACCAAGATATAAATGTAAAAATAATTCATTGTTTGTAATAAAAAAACATTAATGACCGGAATATAAAAACATGGGGAATTTGTTAAAATTATGACCTAAATCATTTGTTGGAATCCTATACAGCACTTTAAGAAGAGTGTGTTGATCTTAAGAATCTCAAGATTAAAGAATTGAGAAAAGCAAGATACCCACACGTATACTCACACAGTACAGTGGACTACAGTTGGGCGTATGTGTGTTAAAAATAGTTCACAACTTCTACCACACAAGCCATAAGTTGATAAAAACAAAATCGTCAAATCTTTGTGGGAATCACTTGTGTTCCACACAAGAAGAATAGTTCCTATGTAAATGGCATTGCATAGGCCTAATGGCAGAAAGCTTTATTAAGAATTTGTAGGAGCACCATGTACAAAATCTACTCTTTGTAACAATTTTAGCAGGTAGAGACTTAACTGTGTCGTTTTACAGAATGGAAGCATAGTACCTTGTCTTGTTTGGGTGGCTGTAACAAAATTCCATAAACTGGGTGGCTTGAAAATAACATGGACTTATTTCTTATGGTTTCAGAGGCTGGCAAGGCCAAGTTGAAGATGCTAGCAAATAGAGTGTCAGGTGAGGGCACCTTGTCACTGGGTCCTCACAGTGTCCAAGGGGCCACCTACCTGGGGCCTGTTTTACCAAGGTGAAGGTAATGATCTCAGGAGGACTCTGCCTTCATGACCTAGAAATTTCCTGGGAACCTCCAACTCTTAATACCATTGCACTGGGGGTTGGGTTTCAACATTCAGATTTTAGGGTGGCACCTACATTCAAACCATAGCACATAACTTGGCCAGAATCACAGCTGTGCTTCTTAAATGAGTAAATCATTAACAGAAACAATTTTGTTTGTGATTTTTATGGGCAGAAACTTTAACAATTTATATATTGTGTGCTTTTTTTCTGATTTCTTTGTTCTTATCCCTAGTTTTTTTAAAAAACAGTGGCCTACCCATCCTGAGAGGTGCAGGGCCTTAGGGCACACCACCTGGGTTAAAGTTTTGGCTATCACTTATGAACTGAGTAAATTTGAGCAAAGAATGAAGTTATTCCATGCTTGTTTTTTTTTTTTTTTTTTTTTTTTTTTGGTACCGGGTATCAAACTTGGGTCCTTGTGCTTGGGAGGCAGGTGACAGAACCACTGAGCTAAGTCTCCAGCCCCTTGCTTTAGTTTTTATGTCTCTAAAATATTGTTAATAATCATATATACCTTATAAATTGTTGTAAATAAAGCACTTATTTTTCTAAATGTTTTTGATTTCGATAATGAATGATACTCTAAATGGTAGCTTTATAGATAAGTAAAAGAATTCATGAGGTGTTTACATTTATTATATGCATTTATTATATTCTATTGTTTCATTAAAAATACTACTTCTAGATCATTAAATTGACTTCAGGGGAGACTAACAAGTTTCAGTTGGTAGTGTGAAAAACATTGTGGGGTTCAATCAGAGAATTCATGAGGATCAGGCTCTCCTCATAGTGCCTGATACCTAGTAAGGGAACCATAAAGATTACTTCCTGTTAGGCTGGGGGTGTCTCTCAGTGTTAGAGTGCTCCCTAGCAGGTGCACAGCCCAGGGTTTATCTGTGACACCACACACACACACAGACACACACAGACACACACGTATGCAGGGAAAATTTGTCACTATTATTTTTGCAGTTTAATGATTGTAACTTTATTCAGAAACAAGTATTAAAGTTTTTTTACCCAGTATTTATCAACTGTGTCACCTATAGCTGCTCTTTATAAGGTCTGTCTTGTCTAAATCAGGTTCATCACATTCTGTCCCCTTTCTGCTTTCTAGGAGCCTTTCTGGAAGCATCTCTGGTCGAATTTAGCCTCTGACTCATAAGTTCAAAAGAAAGAAACCCAAAAATTCTGGTAGCATTTTGACTGGGATCAGCATCTTTAGGGGATAAAGTCTTCCTTTCAAGAATAAGGTGATAGCACGGGAAAAGAGTCCCTGGTTAGCGTCTTAAGCTGTGCCATGGGCACTTCTTGCATGAAAGGTGGAAGGTGTCTACTTAGACACTGTTATGTACTGGTGCACATGTGTTT